CACCTTTCATTACACCAAATTTCCAAGAAATCTCTCAATCATGTAACGATTTTCTCAAACAGAGATCTCTAAAGAATAGTCATGGAAGGCATGAAAAATACCTTTCTTATTTGGTGATAATACCCTCTAGCATTTGTGTGGTTGGATTGCACAAGGACACAAAGCAAAGGGATGCTTTGTGTGCCATTTTTTTTTATAAATCTTTCCGGGCTAGATATTTTAAACTTTTCAGTGCAGACCATTATGTGTATACATACCACTGTTTATCTTAATATGTTTTTGGCCCTCTGATAAAAGGCCTTCATTAAATTTTTTTTTTTTTTTTTGCTAACTCAGCATGGTGTGTGTGTGTGTGTGTGTGTGTGTGTTTGTGGTCTGAGCAGATTTGCCTCAGTCATAGAAGGAAAAACAGAGCACAGATCTCTGGTTTTATCCAACACTGCAAAATGGCTCCTAAATTAGTATGATATTACATGTAGAATAATTCAGGCCCTTTGAGATTTATCAGTCAAGTGTTTTTTTTTGCTGTGATTCTAGGGTGGGCTGAAGCAGAACATGACTGAAGCACCACTTACATTTATAAAGACATTAAACCATCTCAATATCATCATAATCTTATCAAAATCTTTGTGTCTGTTCTTAATCGAATTAGACCATAAAAGGACCACAGGCTGTATTAAATGGATGGGGGCACAGCTTAGCCTGTTGTGATTTTCAATGCAGCCACTACTACGATCATACACTTGTGATCTTATATAAAATACAGTTAAGATGTCTGAAAGATTTCATTATGTGCAGTCTCTTCATATCTTGTTGTAATCTCTAATTGCATTAGCTGTCTTTCTTTTTTTTTATAAGCTATCATGTTTTGGAAGAAAAGCCCAGTTACAATGGCAGAAGGATCAGAGCCATGGCCTAACAAATACCACACAGACTCTGGTCAATTTAAATACATTTGATAAATATATTAGAGATACATCAGTACCTAGACATCGCTCAGACATCTTCAGTGGTTACTCTGACCACTAACTTGTCTGGTATCAAGTTAACAATAACTGCTGACAACATAAGGACACAGGTTAGGCAAACACCTAACGTTATATTATGTTATGTAATCAAATGTTTTATGTTATGCTGTTAATGTTATGTAATTGTTATATCATGCTAATTTGTTAAATGTCATATTGTCAGATTATGTTTTGTCATTGTCCAATTATGTTGTTTAATCATTATATTTTGTGTGATGTTGTTATTGAAGTTTTGTGTTGTATTTAAATGTTTTGTTTTGTGTTAACATTATTTTTTAATGTTATTTAATTTCAAGAAATGTAATCTGTATGGTTCTTGTGTTATGTTCTTATGTAAGTTTTTTTTTTTTATACTTTTTTTTTTGTGATATGTTGTGATGTTTTGTTATTAAAATTAATGTCAATACCAGCAGGCTGGCTCATGACTTTAATAAAATACCTTCAGTTCTTGGAAGGTCATGCAAGTTCTGAAATGTTTGCAGTCAGATAATGGACCACATTTACAATTATCCATTTAGCAAATGCTTTTATCCAAAGCTACTTACAAATGAGACAGGCTATTCTTTAAGATGAAAAGCCTCTGGTTATTTGAGGTATGAAAGGGGATGGAAATCTGCTTTGCATTCTGAGCTCCTGAACCTGCCATAAAGGTTCAGTGATGTTTAAATATGCTCGACTGGGGAGATGTTTGACTTCATCCTCATGTTTTTCAGTTCATCCACCCATCTTTATGACGGGATTAATTTAGCAGAATAGGGAAACATCATGAGGAAAGAATGTTTACAACTTAAGCTGCACCTGGTACTGGTAAATGGCTGTTGTGGCATTTTACAGAGTAATTATAGGACATAAAGTGGTTCATGAAATGGGCTGCCCATATCATTATGAATAAACCACCTAACCATGTGCAACAGTTTAACAGGCAATAGATGATGTGATGTGTCTTTAGATATATGTGACCCTGGACCACAAAACCAGTCATAAGGGTCAATTTAAGGGTCAGAAATTGAGAATAAATAATTTTTCCATTGATGTATGGTTTGTTAGGATAGGACAATATTTGGCCGAGATACAACTTTTTGAAAATCTGGAATCTGAGAGTGCAAAGAAAATCAAAATACTGAGAAAATCGCCTTTAAAGTTGTCCAAATGAAGTTCAATGCATATTACTAATCAAAAATTAAGTTTTGATATATTTACAGTAGGAAATTTACAAAATATCTTCATGGAACATGATCTTTATTTAATATCCTAATGATTTTCGGCATAAAAGAAAAATCGATAATTTTGACCCATACAATGTTTTTTTGGCTATTGCTACAAATATACCCCAGCGACTTAAGACTGGTTTTGTGGTCCAGGGTCACATATGGACTGAAAGATGATTCATCAGACTATATTACTCTTTTTGTCTACTACATTATAGTAAATGGTAATTACATAGCCGACTGAATAGATAAATTGCGGTTAAGAGTAAAATTTCTGTGCAATGAAAATACATAACATTTTTAGTTTATGACATGTACCATAAAACAAATAAATTTTAACCATAATCCATAGTAACATTCCTCCATGGCAGTAAAAAAGTCCACCCCCCCTCTCACATCAAAAACTACTGCAATGTGTGTTTAGATTTAGACTGTTTTCACAAGTAAACAGTTATCGATCTGTGTATATTTCTTATTAATTGTGCGTTGTGTATTAATTTATTATTATTCAGATTAAGACGAGATTACTTCACTGGCGTAAGCAGTCTTAAAAGCATCTTAATCATGGATTTGTTTCTTACAAAGATGCAGATTTTCACTTCACATTATGGTAATTGATGGACTGGAATCATGTCAATTACTTGAGGATTATTGTGATGTTTTTATCAGCTGTTTGGACTCTCATTCTGACGGCACCCATTCACTGCAGAGGATCCAAATCTGTTCCAATGAAGAAACAAACTCATCTAGATCTTGGATACACTCTAAAAAATGCTGGGTTGTTTCAACCCAACTTTGGGTCAAATATGGACTAACCCAACTTTTGGGTTAAAAATTTAAGTACATTTTCAGCAAATTTAGATTTTTCACTGAATTATTTCAAGTGCTTCACAAGTAAACACAGTAATATTGTGATAGTTTAGTTACAAATGCACACCAGCGTGATACAAGATACATGATTTTTCATTCAAATGGTCAAGGTTTTTTAGAGTTTATTTTTGTAAATTTATAGCACATAAAATCAAAAGCCTTCAGGATGGACAGACAAGAAACAGGAGGCATATGTTATCAGTGATCGTGCAGTATACAGTTCTTCCTGAATTTAAGTGACTTAAAAATTGTCATGTATTTTTCAATGCACGACAAAATATATAATAAATAATATGCAGTCCTTTGTTTAGTTGCCAGGCATCATAATGTGTTGATTGAGGGTGGCAAGACTGAAATGTGACTAGTCACACATAGTTTAAGTGTCACACGTTAACAGTGAACATGACTGTTCTCACATGGGCCGCAGGGGCTTCTTAGAAAAGAAACGGGAAAACAGAACCACACGGGGAATTTCACACTGGATATCTTTGTGAATTCATGTAATAAAATGCTCAGAAGCATACATTCACGGATATTATGTCTTATACAATGTCCTAAGTGAAGATTAAACAGACATGCATGACAGCAAGACTACATATGGTCAAAGGGTCCAGTAACATTTGGAGACATTTAAAACCAAAACATTTAAATGTGTACTATATTTAGTAAAATACTTAAACGTTAAGTCAATATTTACACATTTATGAGAGTGAAAATTAAAATGCCATAGAATGTCATATTTATGATGAGTTAGACCTGTCTTAGATCAGCATATTTGCTTATTTTACTCACTATTGGACTTCTTTAACACAATACGTACCCCCACACACACACAAAAAAGTACATATTACATAGACATTTTATTTGACATCTGCATTAAAGACAATTCCGATTCTGATCTCATTCTGATATCATTCCCTAACAATGCAAACAAAAGCCATAAATACTGTATTACAAAAATCCTGACCATTAAATTGTCTTTAAAGAGAATAAGCAATGGAAATGCTGTCATCATTTATTCACTCATGTGAGTAAATTATGCTCCCTGTTTGAAATTCTTTCATGTGGAACACAAAAGGCACTTTTTTTTTCTGAATTGTACTGATTTCTCTGCCATGCATTTTCAATGAACAAGCACTGAAGCTTTCAAGCTTCAAAAAGAACATTATCATGAAATAGTCCATATGACTCATGCACTATATTCCACGTTTCTGAAGCCATACTATAGCAAAATAAATCTTGTGCATGGCTAATTTTGAGTCTGATCTGTTCAATGAATCAGAAGATTCATTCACTAAACCAATCTGAATAATTAATTTACAAACTGAACTAATCCAGTTCACTGATTCAATGATCTGCTTGTAGTGGAAAACAGCTCATTGGAAGGAAAGATTATTAGTGACACTCATTAAAATTTCACTCAAAAAATTTTGTTGTCTTGTCCATTAGAAGCTTGAATACCTCAGTCTCTATTCACTATAACTGCTTGGGAAAAAAATATTTTTTTCTACCTGTGTTTTATTGCAAAAAAGTCACACAGCACAACATGCCAGTTAGTAAATGATGACAGAACTTTGGTTTTTGGGTGAACCTTTAAAAAAAAACAGATACAGCATACAACGAATAACAGATAAATGAACAGTAAACACTGAAAAGAGTAACAACACATTATAATCACTTTTCCAGAGTGTGACACAAACCACAAACACAGTTGAGTGCTGATTCACTCCTTCATGCCTCCTGAAAGTTTACTGTGGCATTTCATTTCACAGTTTTCCCCTTTGAGAAACAGTCTACCATGCGACTGACACTCGTGCAGCAAGTGTTGCAGTGCAGGCCTCCACTTTTCTCTTCGTTTTCCTCAGTTAACACGTCTAGCAAGGCTAGATGGGTGTTAGATGACAGTACAGTGGTGGCTGGTGTCCGGGCTGACGCTAGACCCTCCGTCGGTTTTGATGGTGGTCTTGGATGAGCTGATCTGGGAGCGCAGCTCTTTGCGATTGCAGAGGCGATCGCGGTAGTTTTGGGCAAACACCAGCAGCATTAAGGGGTTGATGCAGCTGTGAGAGTAGCTTAGGCAGATGCTGATGTTGTACGCATACACAAAGGCAATGGTAGGCTGTTGGATGCTGAGGTTGATCACCTGGATGACATGGTAGGGGGACCAGCAAACCAGGAACAGGGCGATCACCATCACAACTGTCTTGGTGGCCCGTTTGGCCCACACTGACTGCTTGCGTTTGACCCGCCGGATGGAGCTGAACACGTGGTATAGAGTGAGAGTGTAAAATGTACTTATTATAATGAGGGGGACGATGAAACCCAGTGTGGACTGGTAAAGCGTGTACCAGTACATATCCTGAGGCCCATCCAGGTAAATCATACAGATGTCCATGTCCTTTTTGGAGATGATTTTAGCGTATATCATGACTGGGATGCTCAGAAGGAAGCTGCCCACCCACACCATAATGTTAACGATGATGGTCCACTGAATGGTCCTCTTTTCAGATGTAGGATGTACAATTGCAACGTACCTGCAAAAAAGAAACAATGAATCACGTTATTAATGCCACCCAAGAGGAAAATGGCTTGCTCTTTCATAGTTTTAAGTGATTTTAATTTTGCTGCATCAATGTGTTTCTCACATAATTGCAAGGAGAAATAAAAATAGAAACAGTAGTTGATACACAATTTGACTATAGAGCTTTAATCATTTGGATATTGTAGCTCAGATAAATTGGCCTTAAATTTGATTTGAGTTCATACTGAAATCTCTTTGATAAGAAATGATTATGTCTTCTGATACTCTATACAAAGTAGACTTGTGAGATTAATAGGGTCTTTTTCTCCAGAGAAAAATATTGAGAATCTGGAGACATAAGCAAAAGTAATTTGATCTATTTTCTCGTTTTCTGGGAGAAAAGGATCTTATTTTTTTTATGTGAGATTTCATAAGTAAATTCACATTTTTTTCAGGATTAAACTTTATTAAATGCCCTAATCCAGGGCTATTATTAAATTCATGCAAAACAGCGAGACATTGAAACTATACTGTAGCATAAATGATTTTGTTTAAGTTAGGATAAGGATAATCTGAAGTAAAAATAATTTGAGTTTATATTTTGCCCAAATGATCCAAAAAAACTATTGCCTGCGTCCATTTTCCTGGTGGATTCCAGTGCATTATTTTACTAAACACATTATTAAATAATAATTCATGAAATAAACATGTAAATTATATTTCACATATTATGTAGCTATATAATATTTGGCATATGTACTCTATTATTCAAAAGTTTGGGGTCAGTTAGATATTTTTTTTGAAAGAAGTCCTCTACCAAGACTGCATTTAAAAATACAGTAAAATGCAACATTGTAAAATATTATTACAGTTTTCCATTTTAATATGTTGTAAAATGCATTTTATTCCTGAATAAAATCCTGAAAGCTGAATTTTCAGTAGTCATTACTCCAGTCTTCAGTGTTACATGATCCTTCAGAAATCATTGCTGATTTGCTGCTCTAGAAACATCTCTTATTATCATCAATGTTGAAAACAGTTGTGCTGCTTAATATTTTTTGTAGAAACTGTGATACATTTTTTTTCAGGATTCTTTGAAAGTTGATAGAAAATTAGTTTATGTTAAATAGAAATCTTTTGTAACATTTTAATTTGTTTTTACTGTCACTTTTGATCAACTAAATGCATGGTTACTGAATAAAAGCAATAATTTCATTTTTATTTATATATATATATTGTTTTTTTATCTTACTGACTTAAACTTTTGAATGGTAGTGTACATTTATGTAAATATGCACTACATGACTCTCCTGGCTGAGTCTGGTTCTTTCCAATGTATCTTCCTCATTCTAGCATCTTTCCTTGCCACAGTCGCCTTTGTCTTGCTCACTGGGGGTATTAAGGCACTATTTTACACAAAGTCGCTTTGGAGCAGTATGTATTGTGAAAAGAGCTATACAAATAAAGCGGACTTGTCTTGACTCTTGCAAAGCAAACATGCTACTAGAGCTGCAAAACAACACAGCAAGTGACAGCTTTCTAAGAAATGCATTTGAAATCAAATAAAAGCTTGTGTATAAAATCAAAAGATGTGTACTTTACTCGTGAACAGTCGTAAACATCTCAACTTCCTTTTTCATGTTTTCAGCATACTTCAAGTATTACAGCTTTCATATACTCTAGTCAGACAACAATCTTTGTTTTTTCCCCCTTGCTATTTCTTATAAAGGGAAGAGAATGTGCCTGGCTTCATGTTTAATATATTGCTCACAGTAGTAACAGTGACTTTAAGGATGCCTTTTAAATAGAATGTGGTATTATGTTGCTTAGCAAAAGATAATGAAAATGTGCAGCTAAGATGCTATATCTCTATAACTCTAATCATGTGACCCAGTAAAAAAAATCCTTTTGGGAATACAGCAATGACACTATATGAAAAAGTGTTATAGTGAAGTTTTATCACCTAATCATGCAGAGGCCTTCTGGGGGACTTTTTGTTACCAACAACTAAGCAAAAACTCTCCTCTGCACTCTGTATTTTATGTGGATCCTTTGTATGTGGTGAGATATTGTGTGTTAAAGTACTTTTGCGTGCTATAAATATAAGTAAGAGAGTTTTTCAAAGTCACACAATTTTATTGCTGTAGTCCAGTCTTGCAGATACAAAAATACAATAAAGATACAAAAATTATCGATGCGGCAGGCTTCATTTTTCAAGGTCATGTAGCATGGATCACATGGATGTGAGAGTTGCATTGATTTCATTCTTTTCTTGTTTTCTTTGCGTACATTCCGTGGAACATCTAGATTAGAGTTTGATTAACAGTGATGAGCAACTGGGCTGTAATTTCCTATAATTTGCTGAAAATACTATGTGCTCTGTAATTAGAGTTTGAATAAAGAATTCTATCCTTTTGACCTCAAAGCTGATGCACTTCATAAGCACATTTATTATCTTGACTGTATTAGTTAAAATCTGAAAGAAAACTGTCAAGAACATGTCACAGGTCAAAAAAAGAAATTTAATATGTATTACAAAAAGGAAGCGTATTTTGGTAAGTGATTGTTTCACATAAAATGCAAAATACAAAAAAAGAATATAAAATCTTAGTAAATATTTATACATATGTTGGGTTTTATTTTATGCCGATAATAAATACAGGGACATGCGAACGTTTGGGAACCCCTTGCAGAATCTGTGAAAATGTGAATAATTTTAACAAAATAAGAGAGATCATGCAAAATGCCTGTTATTTTTTATTTAGTACTGTCCTGAGTAAGATATTTTACATAAAAGATGTTTACATTTAGTCCACAAGACAAAAAAATAGCTGAAATTATTAAACTAACCCTATTCAAAAGTTTGGGAACCCTTGGTTCTTAATAGTGTGTGTGGTTACCTGGATGATCCACGACTGTTTTTTGTTTTGTGATGGTTGTCCATGAGTCCCTTGTTTGTTCTGAACAGTTGAACTGAGCACTGTTCCTCAGAAAAATCCTCTGTGTCCTGCAGATTCTTCAGTTTTCCAGCATCTTTTGCATATTTGAACCCTTTCCAGCACGATGCATTACGATCTGAATTTGAAGATCAAGGTAAATTGTACTTAATTTGTCTTCCGGGAAACATGCAAGTATCTTCTGTTGCTTCCGAAGGGCAGTACTAAATGGGGAAAAAAAATGTATTTCAGCAAAATAAGAAAAATTGGGACATCTTCATCCTGTTCAAAAGTTTTCATCGGCTCTTAATGTATCGTGTTTCCTTCAGGAGCATCAGTGAATGTTTGAACCTTTTTTAATAGTTGTGTTTGAGTCCCTCAGTGTGAAAAGATGGATCTCAAAATCATACAGTCACTGCTGGAAAGGGTTCAAATATGCAAAAGATGCTGGAAAACTGAAGAATCTGCAGGACATGGAGGATTTTTCTGA